GGCTCAGGTCATGAACTCAGGGTTCTGATCAGGTTCTGTGCTCAGCAGGGAGTCTGCTTGAGATTCTCTCTCCCCCTCCCCCTCTCCCTCCAAAATGAGTAAGTAGATCTTTTTGCAAAAGAAAAATGACGGGGATCCCTGATGGCTCAGCAGTTTAGCGCCTGCCTTCAGCTCAGGGCATGATCCTGGAGTCCCAGGATCGAATCCCACGTTGGGCTCCCTGCATGGAGCCTGCTTCTCCCTCTGCCTGTGTCTCTACTTCTCTGTGTATCTCTCATGAATAAATAAATAAAATCTTAAAAGAAAAAAGAAAAAGAAAAATGTCAAGCTTCCCGACATAATTATTTATATATATTAGGAAAACGGGAGTTTTCAAAAGAAAATTTGGACAATTTCAATTAAACTGTTATGTGAACCTCAAATACTAAATTAACCCAATTAGCTTAGTAAAGTCAGAGTCCGGAAAACAAATATAAATTTACATGCATTCACTTATTTGCTTTGGGTTTTTTTTAGATTTATTTATTTGAGAGAGAGAGCATGAGAAGGGGAGAGGGAGAGGGACAAGCAGACTCTCCTGTGATCAGGGAGTCCGAAGTGGGGCTTGATCTTGGGATCATGACCTGAGCTGAAGGCAGATGTTTAGCCAACTGAGCCATCCAGGTGCCCCCTGTTTGCTTTATTAGTTTCCAAACATCTTTCTACTTCTGACTAGTCTAAAGGAAGTAATCTTTTTTGCTTTATTCCTGTGAAAGAAGCCACTGCTTTTAAGGGCTGTGTTTTCTAGTTCAAGAATAATAAATGAATCCAGGCATATGAGTCAATATGCATCATGATAACTTCTTGAAAACCAACTCAGTGAATATAAATTCCTTGAAAATCTGACTTCAGCACCAGAAAATATATATTGAGCACCAACAGTGTTCCACATGCTGATGCACAAAGAGCACAAAGATAATCAACATGGATGTCGCCCTGAAGGAGCTGATAGACCAGGAAGGAAGGCAGTTTAAGGACGAAGGTAACAAGTGTCAAAAGGAAGGTGAAGGCACAGTCCTGGTGGGGTTCAGAGAAAGAAGCTCGGAAAAAGCTTCCTAGAAAAGGTAACAACATTAGAAGAGCCTCAGAAAGATAGATTTCTTTGCTGACCCATTCAGTAGTGAAAGAGGAAAAAGTATTCCAGGCAGAGAGAACAGCAAAGAGAGAGAGAGAAAAAAAAAAAAAAAAAAAAGACTCAACATTAGGAAAGCACAAAGTATCCATGGCTGGAACATAACAGAAACAAGGAAGGATAGTAGGGAATAAGTGCGAACCGGTCATTTGTGGCTGGAGTAAACACAACCTACCATGTCTGCCTAGACCACATAGTCATAGAAGGTAATGGGTGGGGAAATGTGTTCTGACCTATGCTTTAGGATAATAAATCTGGGGGCTGCATATAACATGGATTGAGGCAGGGGAAGTCTATAGGCAGGAAGACTCGTTAGGAACTAGTATAGTGGTCAGGGTGAAAAATGACAGGGAAAATAATAGGAGCATGGAAAAGAAATTATCAAAATCAGACACTGCAAATGTCAAGACTTGGCAAATGATTTTTTTTTTTAAGTATTCTTGTTTTTAAGATTTTATGTATTTGAGAGTAAGAGAGATAGTGAGAGACAGCACAAGTGAGGGAGGGGAGAGGGAGAAGCAACACCCCTACTGAGCACAGAGCCCGAGGCGGGCTCCATCCCAGGACCCTGCGACCATCACCTGAGCTGAAGTCAGACGCTTTACTGAGCCACCCAGGGGCCATCTCCACCTCCCTTCCCCCAACCCCACTGCTGGGAAATGATTTTTGATAACCACTTTCTGACCCACAAAAGCGGAGATAAGAAATGTTTACTGTTTTATGCCAGTAAGTTTTAGAGTAGTTCATTACATGACAATGGGTAATTAACACAGTTTATTCCTTCTGGATTTCTTCAGAACAAATGACACAAACTGGTTACCATGGACTTATTTTGTGATTTTAACAGTTTTATTTATTTTTAAGATGTCTTTGGGAAACTGGAAAGAACATGGACCTGATAGCTCTGCCACTTGCTGGCCATGTGTTCCACTAATTGGGTTAGGCTACTAATTGTTTCTGAGCTTCAGACTCATTATCTAAAAACAGGATTATTTACCTTAGAGGGCCATTGTGAGAATGCAATAAGCTAGTTTGTTAAGTGTTTGATATAACTCCTGGGATATATTAGGTGCTTGGTCACTATAAGTCTCTCCCTAACCCACACGACCCTGCCTCATCTAGCTTTTCTGTGAACTTTCTAAAATCTACTATCCCCAATGGCCAATGCTTTTTTTTCTTAATTTTCAAGTAACATTCCCTTTTAATGGTCCAAACCGGAAGAAATACAGAAACTCAGGCCTTACTCTAGTCCTATTAGATTGGAATCTAACTTTTAACAAATTCCCCAGGTGATAAGTAAATTCATCAAAATATGACAAGTACTGGACTAACCTAATATGACCAAAAAAGAGCCTATACACTCCTCTGAACCTGCCTCACCCCAGGCTTTGCCATGTAAGTAAATGGGATCATCCAGGTGTTAATGCCAAAAACACGGAGTCTTCTTTGATAGCTCCCTCTCCCGTTCCCCTCTCATCTAACCAATCAGCAAGTCTAATTCCAAAGTATATCTGCATCTGTCTCTTTCCATCCCTACACTCACACTTAAGCCACCATCTTCTCTCACCAGGACTACAGGAGCCAGGCCAACTTATCCGGGTATAGAAGGTGCAGTAGCTGGGCTCCACCATAATTTTAGGGACCCTCAAAAACATTTTAGTTTAAAATCATAATAAAAAACAGGGATCCCTGGGGGGCTCAGCGGTTGAGCATCTGCCTTCAGCTCAGGGTGTGATCCCTGGGTCCCGGAATCGACTTCCACATCGGCCTACCTGCATGGAGCCTGCTTCTCCCTCTGCCTGTGTCTCTGCCTCTCTCTCTCTCTCTCTGTCTCTCCCATGAATCAATAAATAAATACTTTTTAAAAACTATAATAAAACAGGGCAGCCCGGGTGGCTCAGCGGTTTGGTGCCGCCTTCGGCCTGGGGCGTGGTCCTGGAGTCCCGGGATGGAGTCCCTCGTCAGGCTTCTGCATGGAGCCTACTTGTCCCTCTGTCTCTCTCTGTGTCTCTCATGAATAAATAAATAAAATCTTTAAAAAAAAAAAAACTATAATAAAACAAAGGTTTAGGTCAAAACATGTCTTCATGTATAACATTAATATATTGGCCAGAAATCACAAAGTATAATTCTATAGTTAATTGTGCTGAATTTTTACGTATACACTGATGTAACCACCTCCCACATCAAGATACTAAGTCATCCTTTTCAAAATTTTATTTCAAGTCATGACATTAAATCGTGTAACTTTACTGCATAAAATTGCAAGAAATCCTTCCATGCTTTCCCACCCCCCCTTGGAATAAAATCCAGGGACCCCCTAGGTGGCTCAGTGGTTGAGCATCTGCCTTTGGTTCAGAGCGTGATCCCAAGGTCCCGGGATCGAGTCCCATATTGAGCTCCCTGCATGGAGCCTGCTTCTCCCTCTGCCTGTCTCTGCCTCTCTCTCTCTCTCTCTCTCTCTGATGAATAAATAAATAAAATCTTAAAAAAAAAAAAAAAAGGAATAAAATCCCAACTCCGAAACCTGGTTTACAAAGCCTCACATGACCCAACTCCCCACTGCCTCTCACTGGGCCTTGCATCACTCTTCCCCCTCCCTCAGCATCCCCCAGCTACCAGGCCTTAAATGCCTCGACTGGTCCAGGAATGCCTCGACCTGCCTGCATCCTCTGCCTTCTTCTAAAGCTCTTCCTAGGGCTGTGCAGGAGGCGGCTGGCGATCTGTAACCCGGATCTCTTTATTTATTTTTTTTTTTTTTAGATTTATTATTATTCATGAGCGACAGAGAGAAAGACAGGCAGAGACGCAGGCAGAGGGAGCAGCAGGCTCCATGCACCGGGAGCCCGACGTGGGACTCGATGCCGGGTCTCCAGGATCACACCCTGGGCCGAAGGCAGGCGCTAAACCGCTGAGCCACGCAGGGATCCCTACCGGGATCTGTTTAAACGTCACCTCCCCAGAGGCCTTCCCTAGCCAGGCCATCTAAAGTCGCACCCAATCATCTGTGAATCCAAGCACCCTGAAATCACCTGCAAAGTGTTCATCGTTTCTCAACATTCGTTCACAGCTTCCCGTCTGTCCTTCCTTCACTTGGACTAAGAACGCCCTTCGCAGTTGTGTTTTCCGTCGAATCGAGAAACGCCAAGAATCGTGCCTGACACGTGGCGGGTGCTCCACCAAAGCTTCCCTGGAATGACATCCTAATACAGGATACGATAACCTAGAATCAAACGCAGCGTTAGCTGGAGGAGGCATGGATGCCACTGGGCTGTGAAATCCTAAGGGCCCGCATGTGGATGAACGCAGCTCAGAAAATGAAGGGCTGCGTTAGGTCAAGGCCCATGGCAATCAGCTTGCTCGGTATTTGCTCCTTATTCCTTTTTTTTTTTTTTTTTCTTCTCCATCCTTACGCAAGACACCGGGTTTGTTTCGCTTCGACAAAAAGCAATCAAAAAAAAAAAAAAAAAAACGTTCAGTAACTTAGCCACATCCGTCTCCACACGTGGAAACACCAAAAGTAAAGAAACTCAGCATCTTCTCCCTTTCCCCCAAAGCCAATCGCAGCGCAGCATCCCGCGGCCCCGGCCATCCAGGTCCCGCCCGCCTGGCCCCGCCCCTTCCGCTGACGCACAGCCCGGAAGTCCGCCGGCCCTGGGGCCCGCCCCCTCGCCCGCGCGGAGCCCTGCGTAAAGCGAGAGGGACTTCGCGACAGCCCAGGCCCCACCCCTTTGGCCACATGTCGCGCAGGCCTTCCCGTCGGACGCCGCGCCGCCTCCTCGCGCTGCTTTACGAACCCAGAGCAGCGCCGCCCCGCCCCCTCCCAGTTTCGCCTCTCCTAGCCCGACGCTCCCGCTATCATCACGTGATCGCCTCATCCGGGTCCTTTGCGTTCTCTCTCCCTCTCCCAACATGGCGGCCTCAGGTGAGTGAGCGGCCGAGCGCGGCCGAGGACCAGGCTCGTTCGCCGCCCTCCGAGCCTGATCCGCGGGTTCCCCGGAATCGGGGAGCGGGCGGCAGCGCTCTCCTTCGGGCTGCGGGGCTGCGGCGGGCTGGCGGCTCGGCCACGTGAGGTTATCGCCTCGGGATGTCGGGGGGGGGGAGGGGACGGCGTCCTTCCCCTCCCCCTCACACCCTTTTCACCCCGTCAGCGCGAGGTTGGAGCGGGGAGGAACGCCGGCCTCCGGCTTGGGCCCGAGCGACGGGGCGCGGGGAGGAGGCTCTGCGGGACGCGGGGGCCTCCTCGTGGGCGGTTGGCGCGCGGGCGGGCGCTCGGCGGGCTACGTGTGCGAGGCGCGAGGCCGCGGCGGGCGGGCGGGGTGGGGGCGGGGGGGCGGTTAGAACGCGGGCGGGGAGGGCGCGGCGCGCGTGCGCGGTAGGCCCGGCGAGGGGCGCGGGCCTGGGGCGCGGCGGGGCCGGGGGCGCGGCGGGGGCGCGGGCCTTGCTCTGCCTCCCGCCTGCCCTTGGCGCTCGCTGCGCTGCGGGTCGCCCCGGTGCGGCCCGCTGCCCGCTGCTCCTCCGAGGGTGGACGTCGCGGGGGTGGGGGTGGGGAGCCCGGTGCGCTGCGCCCACGTGTCGGAGCAGCGCGAGCGAGGATGGAGACCCAGATGGTCTCGAGGCCCTTTTTTTTTTTTTTTTTTTTTTTTCTTTTTTCCCCTCCTTAATCAGTACGCCTTTACTGATGAGAAAGCAAGCCAGGCATGTTCTAGGTGCCGGGGAGGGACCACAAAAGAAAAAAAAGGGTGAACAAGATCAGATCCCTTGACAGCTTCCATTTTGGTATATTTTGATAGGTCCGATAGTAGAAGTCAGCTTTTCTTTCTCTCTCTCTCTCTCTTTTTTTTTTTAGACTACTGGGGAGTGCTTTTAAAATACATACTAGTGGATACAGTTGGTTGTTTTGTTTTGTTTTGTTTTTTTTTGTTTATTTTAGAGGACTTTGGAGTAGGGAGTATCCGTCAGTGTCCTGCAAGTCTGCATTTCTCAAGGACTTGGCGATGGGCTTTGGAACATTTTCAGCATTCGCTTTAGTTTGGGGGATGATAATTTATTTCTCTGGCATGATTATGGGTTCTGCAAAACACTGCTTGCTATCCCTAAGATACTCATTTCTCATTAGAAATGGGTTTTCTGGGGATTCCCCGGGTGGCTCAGTGGTTGAGCGTCACCTTTGGCCCAGGGCGTGACCCTGGGGTCCTGGGATCGAGTCCCATGTGGGGCTCCCTGCATGGAGCCTGCTCCTCCCTCTGCCTGTGTCTCTGCCTCTCTCTCTCTCTCTCTCATGAATAATTTTTTTTTAATTGATTTTCTCTGTCAACCTAGGACACTAATAATTAGGTATGTTTTTGGAAAATGTTGAGGGAATTGAGGTGCACTTGAATATTATAATACTTTTCTTTGGTGTAGCACCTGACAGTTGACCAGGCACTTCTGTGTATGTATGTTCTCATTTGATCCTCTGTTAGATAACGTGGGCAGATGGTGGTATCTCCAGCAGAGAAAGATGAAATTGTTCAAGGTCACATGGCTGCAGGTAGCAGAGCAAGGTCAAAATCTTGGAGACTCCTGACGGTCCTCCATTATCAACTTGGAAATTACAAAGTTGGCTTCCATGTGATCGTATTTTGGGATCTACCCAAAAACTTTATCTGAATTAGAGTACTTATTTGGCCTGGATTTGCCATCTTGACGGCTTGGTGCCATAATTTAGTGAAAAGCCCATAATTCGTTTTTCAGTATAACGTGGCTTTTTTAGGGGTGGAAGACACATTGGCAGTCTGTGCCCTGCATTTTACAGAACTGAGTGAAATCTAGACTAAAGGGATTTGCTTGGTGTCCACTTCTGTTCTTCCACGTATACTCTACCCCCTTTTTGAGCCCCTCATCTCTTTACTTTGGTCCCATAAATCTTTTTAGCTTTATAGTATGTGTAAGAAACAGTATCTGGAGTACGAGGTTACATCTGACAGTCTGCCCTTGGGGAATTTGGTATTTATCAGACTTTTCCCACTTTGCATCCTTTCCAGTCTCATTGGTTTTGTTGAGTGGCCAATATTACCAGATACGGCCATGTTAATGAGACTAAAATTCTTGGTGTATTTTCAATATACACCAAGATGCTCAATGTCTTGTTGAAAGTGTATCTTATATTTTCTCCGTGAAAATACCCTTGATATGATAGAACTTCACAGGCCCCTTGTAAATGAGACCAAAAAATTCTTTGCAGCAATACCAGCCAGTATCCAGTTGACCCTTCATCGATTTTCAAGAACCAAAAGTGTCCCAGAATGGACTGTTGAACTGCTCTCCTTACTTGAGACAAATGCTTTCAAATGGGAAATAGTGGTTGTATGCACAGAAGGCCTTTCACTTGTATAGCACTTGAAAATGTCATATGTGGCATCTTGTTTAATTATTTTCACAGGGATGGAATAGTTGTTTACATACAGTGCTTTTCCTTAAAGAGTAACATAGTTTCATTATATACTGTTCACATACAGGTTTCCCCTGCTCTCCAGGGGTAGAGCAGTTTGTAAACTGGAATGGCATAAAGCAAAGAAGCGATGACCATTAGTTTTTAGGGAAATTTTTTGGAGCATTCCTGGTACCTTGGGGTGTATCTTGCTAACAAGATAAAGCACAGATGTTCACAGACAGTTCAAAACTATGGTAGTGTGATGTTGAGTATAATTCTGGGGGGAATGAGCTTGAACTTGGCACACTGTTGAAAGTGTGTGCTGCCTGCATTATGGCTTATATATAGCAAAACAAACACCTGATGCTATTTTTTGTTTTGGTAAGAGCAAAGATCCTCTCTAGGTTTCTTTCAGTTAGGGAAAACAGGTAATGATGTAAGTCTTTCATAAAAGCAAAATGGCATAATGCAGCCTTTTGAAAAGCAAGGCCTGGGGATCCCTGGGTGGCTCAGCCGTTTAGTGGCTGCCTTTGGCCCGGGGCATGATCTAGAGTCCTGGGATCAAGTCCCGCATCGGGTTCCCTTCCCTGCATGGAGCCTGCTTCTCTCTCTGCCTGTGTCTCTGCGCCTCTCTCTCTCTCTGTGTGTGTGTGTGTCTCATGAATAAATAAATAAAATATTTTAAAAAAAAAAAAAACAAGGGCTACCTATATTACTATTTTTTAATTCCATTCTCTACCATATGTTATTCTGGGAGTAGGATACCCAGATTCAGAAAGCCAAAACTAAACTCTATGAAAATTTAAATGCAGATAAAAGGAGAGTGTCAAAGTAAAACATAGTGTTTCTAAGTAATGTAGTTCTTAAAAAATATATATGTATACTTTTAAGGGTGCCTGGGTGGCTTGGTTAAAGCATCTGACTCTTGATTTCTGCTCAGGTCTTGATCTCAGGGTCATGAGAGCACTGAGTCAGCTTGAGATCCTCTCCCTCTCTACTCCCCTCCCTACTCACTGACTTGTGCACACTCTAAAATAAAAATGAAGTCTTTAAAATATATATATATCTTTTAAACAGCTTTTTAAGTTCAAATTTACATACCATATGTGTATGGCTTGACAGTATATCCTACCACTTTGTTCATATTAGTCGCATAGCATCTTAGAATGTATTCACTTTTCATGAAGATGGGGGAAAGAATTAACCTCGGAGTATTGTTTTTAAAAATTAAGTGCATGTTTCTAATTAATTATATGTGTGTACACTTAAGTGCACACACCAAAGTCAATTTGTGTTTTTACATCAACAACCATATTGAGTGTGGAAAGGTAAGGGGAAGGCAGTATGGCCTTTTCCTCCGACTGTCAGTATGAAGAAGTTGAGTCATGTAACTGAATTGGTGAGGTCAAGGTGGTGCAGCTTATTCTTCCTTGGTTTTTATTCTCTACTGTGCTCAACTGTAGTGCAGTAAGGTGAGGCCTGTGGACATTATGATATTACATTGTATGAAACCTCATGGCTTGGCTTTAAACAGCAGCATAATTAATTTAGTTCTAGGCACTCTAGTATAGGTGGACTGATTGCATTTATACGGTATTGTTTCTTTAAGGGAACATTTGTTGATCATTATTCGTTTTTAATTCTGGAGGATTTGGCAAGATTCACTTTCCAGAAAGAAATGCCTTGCCGTATTAGAAGTCATTTCTTCCACCACCAGCCCCCAATCTGTTTATTTGTATTTACCTATTATAAACATAAAAATGAAATCATACAACGTGGAGACTTTTGTTACTGGCTTCTTTCATTTAGCATATTTTCAGGGTTCATATCATATTGTGGGATGTATGGGTACTCTTTCTTTTTTATTGTAAAATCTGTTGTATGGATATTTACATTTAACTTATCCATTCATTGATGGGAATTTGAGTTTCCCATTTTTTTCCTATTATGAATAACGCTGCTGTAATCTTGTATGGGTTTTTATGACATTTTCTGACTTCTTAGCCTGTAGATACTAACATTCAGAAGAATTGATAACCCTATAAAATAAGTGGGATTCAGTCTGACAAGATCTAAAATTAAGGAATGTAAGTTTTGACAGAGCATGGAGAAGTACAGCTGCATTGTACAACAAATAAGCTTTATTGCTTATAGTGCTTTAAGATGTCCTTTTGAAATTAAGATCTAGCAGCCAGTCAGTAGACTTTGTCACTTCAGTATCTGACATTTGCTGCCTTTGTTGCTAATACAATGCAGTGGTAAAAGGAAAACATTCTGAGAAAACTAAAGGAATCCTATATTTTACATACAGCAGCCTGATAATCCTGAAGACTCAGTATTGCAGTCACTTCTAGTAGTGTTTTATACAGGGCTAGCATCTCCTTTTGTTTGTCCTTTATTTATTGATGTGAAGCCACCACTTAAACCAATGTTTCTCAACCAGGAGACAATTTTGTCTCACCCGTCGAGGAGTCATTTACAGTGTCTGAAGGCATTTTTGGTTGTGACAGCAGGGTGGGGGGTTTTGATACTAGCCTCTGATGAGCAGAGGCTGGAGATGCTGTTAAACATCCTACAATGCACTGGACAGCCCCCCACAACAAAGAATTACCCAGCCTAGAATGTCAGTGGTGCAGAAGATGAGAAATTCTAAATAAGAATTAAGCTGGTTAGTTGTTTTGTTTTAAGATATTATTTATTTATTCATAGAGAGAGGCAGAGTCACAGGCAGAGGGAGAAGCAGGCTCCATGCAGGGAGCCCGACGTGGGACTCCATCCCAGGTCTCCAGGATCAGGCCCTGGGCTGAAGTTGGCGCTAAACCACTGAGCCACCCGGGTTGCCCTGTATTTATTTTTATATCTGTTGTAGGAAACCCTGTTTATTAAGGACACAGATGTTTTGTCTGCAGTTTAAGGACAGGTAGACTGAAAGGTTTTTAATGCTATCTTTTAAGGTCTTTTATTTAACCTGAACAAGTATATAAAGAGCTTCACAAGTACCTGGTACTTGTTCAGTAAATTGCAGTCGTGATTAAGTCAGCAGACAGGATTCAGTAAAATTTCTAAGGTGTGTGTGTTTTCCCTTAGTCTGTGTGGGTCTGGCCTTAAATAATTGAGACACTTATTGTTTCTTACATGAGGTAGTTGGTTTAACTTCTTCACCAGTTCACATCAGATTTAAAGAAATTAAGAGTTGGACCAGTTTGATCACATGGCAAGTGATTATCCAGAGAAGACTTGAAATCCTAAGCATGTAATGGGCCTAAATAGATATTGGAGCTAAGGCCTTGAAGGATTTAGATAACATCATCATTTCTCAGTTATTGGAGTGAAATAGAATGGAAAAAAACACTAGCACCCACTTTAGTTTACTAAGGGCTGGTTAGTTCCTTTAAATCTGTTTATATTTGTACTAAGTCAGTGCTGCTGCTAGATTTATTTTTTTTAAGCATTTTTTTTAATTTATTTATTCAGAGAGAGAGACTGAGAGGCAGAGACACAGGCAGAGGGAGAAGCAGGCTCCATGCAGAGAGCCTGAGGCGGGACTCGATCCTGGGTCTCCAGGATCAGACCCCGGGCTGCAGGTGGCGCTAAACCGCTGCGCCACCGGGAGTGCCCTGCTGCTAGATTTAAATGAACATAAGTTACAGATCCTGTGAAAGAATTTTACCCTGTCTTTAAATGAAGACTGCCCATCATCCAGTGATTTCCCAGCCAGAAGTTTTTGGAGGAGACAGCAACAGAAACAGAGAAAAGGGAGATGTATGGTTTAAAAAGATACTCTGAACCAAACAGTGCTCTAATTTTTTTTTTAAGTTATGGTGTTTACTTTATTATTTTGAAATTCTCAATAACGTAAAAGGAAAGGGGAATTTGTTGGTCAAGAGTTGGGGAGAGGGGGTTAAAAAAAATTAAGAGATAAAAGTTGAGAAACCCTGTTCTAGAAAGTTGGTAGAAGCCAAAGTCAGACCAAAGACAGGTTAATTCTAGATTCTGCTGTTTTGATATTAGATATGTATATAGAACAAGGGGGACAGGGGTGCTTTAATAAATTATTATTGTTTTTATGTTGAACTTGACCTCATGGACTGACCACCAGTTTTATATTTATTTCCCCAGTGACCAGGCAGATCAATAATTGGGTATTAGCTGATGGTACTAGGTTAAGCCCCATGAGAGTAAGGCTCTCTAGGATCATATTAGTCCCCAACACTTTTTGAATTAGAGGATGTGGAAAGGATGAAAATAAGCCTGTACAATGTGAACATTCTACTTCAGAGGCAGGCTTTATATCTTGTTCACATTTGCTTAATAAATTTTTCCCAGGCCTTTGCATATAAACCAGGTGTGCAAAATTGATGGCTACAGGACCCAAACTCTGGATAACTGCTTTCTTTCATAACATAGAATAGATCCAAAATATAATCTGGTTAATCAGAAATGATGCTTTTATTTTTTTTAATTTTTTTTAAAGATTTTATTTATTCATGAGAGAGAGGCAGAGGGAGAAGCAGGCTCCATGCAGGGTGCCCAACGTGGGACTGGATCCCGGGTCTCCAGGATCACACCCTGGGCTGAAGGGGGCGCTAAACCGCTGAGCCACCCAGGCTGCCCAGAAATGATGCTTTTAAAGCAGGATTGGTATTAAGTCACTTGGAAGAATCATGGAAACTACAACACTATTTTCCCTCAGTATTATTGCAGCCGAGTTCATCTGGTTGGCACATTGAGACCATAATGCCTCAGGTTCTTAGTATGTCCAGAAGTCTGTTCATAACATTCATAGCAAGGAGGTCACATTTATTTCCTGAAAGTTGGGTGGGGTTTTTTTGTTGTTTGTTTGTTTGTTTGTTAAGGTGGGGACAGAGGGAAAGAATCCCTGCTGACTGCAGAACACAAAGACACAGGCCTCAGGCTCTATCCCACCACCTTGAAATCACGACCTGAGCAGAAACCAAGAGTCAGCCACTTAACTGACTGAGCCACCCAGGAGCTCCCTGAAAGGTGGATTTTTTAAAAGAAAGGTGCCAGATGAGAGAGCATCCTTTGGTTTAAACAAATGGTTGCATCATGTTAAAATTCTTAGTCTTCTTGGATTGAAAATGAGATGAGAATTGGAACATGGAGGAGGAACTCCTGATTATAAAAGCCATAAAACTGGTCTTTGTTAGAACAAAGCTGCTTGCTTTTTTCTTATCATGTAGGGGCTGCTTTCAGGAGCCAGTTTTAGGATTTCAGTCCTTTTGGCTCTTCTGCAGTAGCCGCTGACTGGTCCCATCTCAGAAAAAGTCCTGAGAAATAGTTAAAGACCGAGATCAGTCCACTAAAAAGAGCCACTTGGAAATGTGTAAAGATTTCATAACCACAGAAAACATTTGAATGTGTTAGTTCTTAGGGGTTACTTATGCTTTCCCCTTAGTACCCTGTCTCATCTTTGTAGTGTTAGGGTAGGTGAGGAATTTTTTTTTCCCAGCAGGCAGAGAAGTCCCTCTCTGTAGAGTCTTACATTGTGAACACTTTCAAATGACAGTGAGTAATACACTTTACCATGGTTATGGTAACCCCTGCCCCTCCTTCCATAGAACTAATAACAAGCTCTTAGGGGCTGAGGCTCCTGTGGGAAGAGGTCTAGATTTGGTATCCAAAACCCTGGGTTTAATTCTAGCTCTGCTATCTAATATCTCTGTAACTGTAGGATAGTCATTTAACCTCTCTGAGGCTTAGTTTTCTTTTTTGTAAGTTGATAGTAATGATTCCTACCTCATGTGGTCATTTTACAAGTATCAAACAATCCATATAAATGCCAAAATGAGTATGTTCTTAGGGGTAGGAGCTTTATTTTAGTTCTTTGTATACCAGGAGCAGTGAATGTAGTTGCCTGTCTTTTTTTTTTTTTTTTTAAGATTTTATTTATTCATGAGAGAGAGAGAGGCAGAGACACAGGCAGAGGGAGAAGCATGCTCCATGCAGGGAGCCAGATGTGGGACTCGATCCCAGAACTCGGGGATCATGCCCTGGGCCGAAGGCAGACGCTCAACCGCTGAGCCATCCAGAGATCCCTAGTCGCCTGTCATAAACACAAGTAGTTACTAAATTAAAATTTTCCAATGATATGTGAATGAATATAGTAGAAATAAAAGGTTGATCCCACCTGTCTTAATGCTGAAACTTTCTAGACCCTTCATATATAAGCAAATTCATTTTGGCAGTTTTCACTGAGTTTTCTTGCCATATGCCAGTGTATCGTGCTTTGTCCTCATTTATATCTGTATAGTATGCCGTCTTGTCTTTTGGTGGCTCTTCATGTTGCTTTAACAGTAGTGCACTGTAACACTCTTTAAATACCCAAGGAAATGATAAACAATCTTTCTTTTTGCTTTTTTAAAACAGCAAAAAAGAAGAATAAGAAGGGGAAAACTATCTCCCTAACAGACTTTCTGGCTGAGGATGGAGGGACTGGGGGAGGAAGCACCTATGTCCCCAAACCAGTCAGCTGGGCTGATGAAACAGACGACCTGGAAGGAGATGGTAATTTTTTTTTTTTTTATTTCCCACAGTGCTTGGAGTTTTCATTCTTTTCAAGGCCAAACCCATTCCATAGTAATAGTTCACACTTGTATTCTGAAAAGAACCTACTCATTTTGTAGAACCGCAAGTTTTATGTATAGAATTTAAGGTTTAGGCTTTTAAGAGTTTATGACTGGGGGCTGAACAGATTTTTCTCAGGGTATTATTATTTTCTTTGCAAAGTTGAAGACTAGACTACTAAAATTCTGTGACGTCCTGATATCACAATGTAATCTGCAAGCTGTTTATATTTCAGAACCAAGAAATAATTTCTTCTGGGAGCTATTTTTATGAAGTCAGGGGTAAACAAAATGGTCTGAGGAACGGGATGGGATTGAGTTGTATTTTGTTTCATTTTTAAGAGGAGGATAAACCAGGAAGAAAACACTTTGTCCACCCAAAAAGTTAGGAATATGAGAGTTGTCAGCAGTGTTTAAATACATCTGGACTGAGAGGGACCCGGGTTTGAGTTCCGCCTCTACTAGGATTATCATCTCCTGCTCTGCCATCTTTGTAAACTTGATCAAGTTATTGAATCTCCCTGACATCTGAGTTTCCTTTTCTGTAGAAATGAAACAACCTCACAGGATTATTAAAAAGATAAGATGGGATATAATGAATATATAATACCTGGCTCATAGTAACATTCCATTAATAGTTGTTTCTTTTTCTTTGCTGCATAAGGAAAAAGAGTTACAATAATATTGTCAACAAAAGCCTGGGCCTTCAAAGGCCTCAAGATACTTAGAAACCAAGAGATAGTGAATACTGGTTGCATTGTTAACCTGGTTCTGACATTTCAGAAGCACTTTCTCTGTGTAAAGTGCCCTTGTTTAAGTGCCTTTTTATTATCTGTTTCTCTATGTAGCTTCTTTAATCCTTGGCATTTACCATGGGTCCTCATCCTACAACAGCAGTAAGGGAAATTTTCTCTAATTTTTTCTGTTTACTTTTCTATCCTAGTTTCAACCACTTGGCACAGTAATGACGATGACGTGTATAGGGCACCTCCAATTGACCGTTCCATCCTGCCCACTGCTCCACGGGCTGCTCGGGAACCCAATATCGACCGGAGCCGTCTTCCAAAATCGCCACCCTATACTGCTTTTCTAGGGAACCTGCCCTATGATGTCACAGAAGATTCCATTAAGGAATTCTTTAGAGGATTAAATGTAAGTGTAAAGGTTTAAGGAAGTAACTGCATATGGAGACTAGCATATTGGTAGTGACAGTCTGAATTTCTAAGCTGGGAAAGGTTCTGAGGCTGTCTCTAGACTTGGAAGAAATGGGCATATAATTGATGAAGTGGTGTTTAGGCACTTTGAGAATGTTCTCATCCCACACCAATCAGATAGTCTTGAGCCTTAGTGATGCAGAAAAAAATCTCTCAAAAACCTACACCTCTTCTCATTAATAAGAATCTTCAAAGTGATATACCCAGGAGCACCTGGCTGGCTCAGTCAGTGGAGCCTACTCTTGATCTCCGGTCATGAATCTGAGCCCCACATTGGATATATAGATTACTTAAAAAAAAAAAAAAAAATAAACCAGTTTTGTTGTAAGACTCAAAGTTTCTCTGAACTCAGTCATTCTGTTAATGACACTCAGGCTTATATCAAAATCACTTTTTAGTTTTACATATGAATACCTTTAACTGAGAAGATACATAATTTACATTAGCAAGAATGTGCTAAAATCATTAAAGGTTCTTGGGCACCTGGGTGGCTCAGTCGGTTATGCATCTTTCTTCGGCTCAGGTCGTGATCCCAGGGTCCTGGGATTGAGCTCCATGTTGGGCTCCTTGCTCAGTGGGGAGCCTGCTTCTCCTCCCTCTGCCTGTCTTTCCCCTTGCTTTTGTGCACATGAGTTCACATGTTCTCTTTTTCCATGTCAGATAAATAAAATCTTTTAAAAAAAAATAAGTTTCTGTGAGCTTGATGCCACATATAGTGCAATTCACAGTGTTTATAGGCATGCTTAAAAAGCTTAAGGGAGGATGTTTGGAATGCTGATCTAGAAGATTCCAGAATGATTGAAAAGTGAATATACAAGTGCTTAGGAGAAGCTCTTTTTTTCAAACTTTGATTTAAAAATACTTAGGACCCCTGGCTGGCTCAGTCCGTAGACCATGTGACTCTTGATCTCAAGATTGTAAATTCAAGCCCTGCATTGGTTACAGAGATTACTTTAAAAAAATCTTTTTTAAAAAAGAAAGAAAGGTCGGGCACCTGAGTGGCTTAGTTGGTTGAGTGACTGCCTTTAGCTTAGGGTGCGATCCCGGAGTCCTGGAGTCGAGTCCCACATCAGGCTCCCTGCATGGAGCCTGCTTCTCTCTCTGCCTTTCTCTGTGCTTGTATCTTATGAGTAAATAAATAAATCTTTAAAAAAAAAAAAAAAGATATTTAGGACTTTAAAAATCAGAATGAGTCACAATTTCCAGTTCTCTTGGGTTTGTCTCCAGGGTCTTTGCCAATGGCAACGCATTAAAAAATACATTTCCTTGGGGCGCCTAGCTGGCTCGGTCTGTAGAGCATGTGACTCTTGATCTCAGGGTGGTGAGTTCAAGCCCCATGCTGGGGATAGACTTTACTTTTTCTTTTAAAAAGTGCATTTCCTCTAAAGATCTACTACTCTCTTCTCCACTTTTACTTTGTTTTTTGACTCCCTTCTGAGATCCTGTTCTCTGCATGGGCTACCAGCTTTTATGGCTGGATTTTCTGGTATGATTTAAGATTTTATTTTTAAGTAATCTCTGCACCAAATGTGGGGCTTGAACTCCCAGCCCTGAGATCAAGATTTGCATGCTCAGGGGCCTAGGTTGGTTCAGTTGGTTGAGCATCCAACTTGGTTTCAGCTGGGTCGTAGGATTGAGCCCTGCCTCAGGCTCCACACTCAGCTGGAAGTCTGCTTGAGAATTCTCTCCCCTCTGCCCCTGCCCTGGCTCATGTGTTCATTCTCTCTCTTTCTAAAATAAGTAAAATCTTTTTTTTTTTTTAAGATACTATTTATTTATTCATGAGACCCAGAGAGAGGCAGAAAAGCAGGTTCCGTGCAGGGAGCCCTACATGGAACTCGATCCCGGGACCCCGGGTCACACCCTCGGCTGAAGGCAGGTGCTCAACTGTTGAACCACCCAGGGATCCCCTAAAATAAGGAAAATCTTGAAAAATAAAGTCTCATGCTCTTACTGACTGAGCCAGCCAGGCACCCCCACAGTGTGATTATTTTTTTGACTGCCACCTGTAAATCTTCTCTGTACAAATAGGTAGTACAGTTAGAAGGCTGACCTGTTTTTTATTTCACTTTCTTGGCTTCTTCTATAGAGTGTTAAATAACCTCTGGCCTATTCAGAGCTTTTCACTGTTAATGCTCTAGAACTGGATTTGGAGCTACTTCTACCTTTTATATTTTGTTCCTTTTCGGGATCCCTGGGGGGCGCAGCGGTTTGGCGCCTGCCTTTGGCCCAGGGCGCGATCCTGAGGACCCGGGATCGAGTCCCACGTCGGGCTCCTGGTGCATGGAGCCTGCTTCTCCCTTTGCCTGTGTCTCTGCCTCTCTCTCTCTCTCTCTCTCTCTCTCTCTCTCTCTCACTATCATGAATAAATAAATAAATAATTTTAAAAAAAAGATTATTTTGTTCCTTTTCCTGCTATCTTCAAGAGTTGAGTTAAATTAGATTTTTTTTCTTAAACTAGAATTTAAAGAGGCTATAACAAAATCTGTATGTTGGGAGTCAGAATAAATTATCAAATCAGTGATATAGAAGAATATAATTTGAATACATGCAAAATACCAAAGAAATGAAGTAAATGGGTAAGAAAACATGTGGAAGCCCTCAAAAAGCTGGCCAAAAATAGTTTAAAATATTTGGAAATGAAGAGTAGTATGTACCTTGTTGTAAATAACAAATACAAATTAGTGCCATGGAAAGTTTTATGAAAATTGAAAAGAGGGAATCCTGCAAACCTACAATTAGAAAACACAAGGTAACCTCAAAATCAGGTTAGTATAAATTTTTCCTGTACTTTAAGAGTAAAAATGCAATAGTTTGCCATCTTAGAATTAACAGGAGGTAGGGTTTGTGGGGATTTACAATACAGCGTTTGATTCAGTAAAGCATTGGTTAATATATGAATTGACTAACATTTCTCAGGTAAGGTCTCAAAAATAAACTACCTAGAAAACTATGGCAAAAATGGAGTCAAATTTCTGAGATAGAAATATACATATTAAAACCAAGTACAATATAAGCATAAAGAGATAAACTGTGGAATGGGCAGTTGCTCTTTATTGAAAAACATCTAAAAACTAGACTTGTAAAATGAGGCAAAGGTCAGGGACTCAGAGACTACCCTGAACTCACGTTTGGGTTTTTTTTTTATTTTGGGGGATATTTTTAAGGGTTAAATTCATAATCAAATCAGGAAGGTTTAATGGCATAGAGTGAAGTCTTTCTTCTATCTCTTTGCACTGCTTTCTCTTCTGGAGACAATCAGGTTCTTGTGGTTTGGGTTTTTTGTTGTTGTTGTTATTTTAAATAGGCTCCAGGCCCAGCATGGAGCTGACTGTGGGACTTGAACTCAAGACCCTGAGATCAAGACCTGAGCAGAGAATAAGAGTCAGACACTTACTCTGAGCCACCCAGGCACCCCAGTTCTTGTGTGTTCTTTAGAGAAATTCACTGCATATGCAGTGGTTAGGGGGGAAAAAGACAGATGGACAAGAACACTTAATTGGGAAATGTTTCTTTACTCCTTCAGATCAGTGCAGTGCGTTTACCACGTGAACCCAGCAATCCAGAGAGGTTGAAAGGTTTTGGTTACGCTGAGTTTGAGGACCTGGATTCTTTGCTCAGTGCCCTGAGCCTCAACGAAGAGGTAAAAGAAAGAAAATAAGGTGGGGAGTTTGAGGGGTGGGAGGTAACCAATCTTATGTTTATCAATATGTTTTTGGTTGGGTCACTAGCTATTTCAAAGTATTTCATAATATCTACCCAAAAAAAGCACGGTGTAACAGTTAATATTCAACATCTAGCAAGTCTCATTTTCCTCAGGCAAGTTCACAACAGGTTCCAGTATAACTCAGGGAGGTAACTTAGGTGGAAAATAATGGACGAAACCCACCACACCAAGTCTTTAATAGAAGCTCTTGTTCATTCATTCATTCATTCATTCGCAGCTTTGTCTCCGCTCTCAGGGCTTTGCTCTTTCAAAATAATCTTACCAGATCAAAGGAAATAGAAAAGTTGTGTTAATCATTTTAGTGTTAAAGGCATTATCTGGTTTTTAGGGAAGTTAATGGTGTTTTTGATAATTTTAAGAGAGTTTGGAAACGTTTCTCATTGGGATGTCATTTGTAATAGGGAATCTCTCAGGAAAATGACAGTAAACATTTAGTGCTTCTGCTTTTTAACATTGCCCAGAGATGTTTTTCTGTCCAGACACACTAATAGAGATTTAGTAGGAAAAGGAGATTGAGCTGTTAATACATTCGGGGCTATGAGGATTAAATCTAACTCTAATGACAGTTGCAGTGATTTGCCATGCAGTGATCCTTAAGATAGCCCAAGCAGGATATTGAAGCATTTAGTTAGTTACCTATTAGTAATAGAAATTTCTAGTAAAGGACCTGCATTTTTTTTTAAACTTCTAGTGACTAAAAATCAAACTAATTATATCTGGGAAGGAAAAGGACTCCCTTTTTCTCTTTTCATTTGACACAATTTAAATCAATACCTCTTAAATACTCCTCCTGTCTCATAATTAAGTACAACCATGGTAATCTGAAGGAAATGTCAAAATTAAATATATGAAAACCTTAAAGATGCTCCAAAGTTTTTCTTCTCAGATCATTTTTAGGTTTTATTAACATGACTAATTTTTAACTTCTCAGTCTAGATAAGGGAAAGAATACCATATGGTTTTATTGTTTGAAATTTGCTGTATTATTATGTAAAATGCTGTCATGGTCCAGACTTAGGAGTTCCTTTGTTTCTAGAGATTTCATCATGGTGATATTTAATACAATCCTAGGTGTTTTCAACTAAAATTCATTGTTATCCTTCTTCAACTGTAGATTCTACTGTGAAATGAGGAAAAATCAGCAGTAGAATTAATTGGGTTCAAAGTGTATAAGTAATGATGTGGGAAAGGGAAGTCAGAGGGTATCCTGGAGGAACTGAATAATCCAAAGGTAATACTGAGTGAAAGAACTTGAGATAATAGAGATCATACTTCGCTTTTGCTGGTGCATAGTAGGGACTCTGCAAATGTCTGAATGAATAATGCTGGACCCAAATATGCCTTTTATTTTAGCTAGTTGCCACACTTGATAAATTGCCTTTGATAGTTAAAAGGCTAATATTGTGGAATACAACTTTATAAAAATAGTAAGATGGTTGTTGTGATGTTGATATAAGCCCAACTTAAATTTGTTAATTCTAAGGGGTTATTTCAGTTTTCAAGTCTTTATAAAGGATTCTTTAGCCAACAAATTGGAGTGTTGGCTAGATTACAGTGTTTTTCCTTTATCTTCCTTCCCCCAGTGCTTCTGCTATGCCCAGACGTTCAAGGTCACTCATGGGATTTGTGCATAATGGGGCAAAAGGTTGGTTAATGTGGTCCTATGCTCTCAGTCTCTAGGTAACAGGAGAATTCGAGTGGACGTTGCTGATCAAGCACAGGATAAAGGTAAGAAAGCTGATAGAAATCTTTGTTTTGTTTTGGTCCTAGGATGACAAAGCAGAAGTACCTCTTCTCAGAAGTTTTTAATAGAGGTGGAGAGCATAGGCCTGCTTGAAACTGGAACACTAGTTCTCAACTAAGATGATTTTGCCCCACAGTGGACATTTGTCGATGTGTGGAGACAGTTTGGGTTTTCAGAACTGAGGAGTACTGCTGACCCCTACTGGGCAAAATACAGGGGTTGATCATAGGATGCGCGTAGGACAGACCACTTCCCATAGCAAAACACTAGTATTGATTGAGTTGGAGAAACTGATTGATCTAGTAGAACATTTAATATGTAATAGATTAGGTGTACCTAGGAGCACCAGAGGGGCTGATTCATTTCTACTTCAGGGGCCCTAGCCTGTACACAAAAAGAGACCAATAAGCATTAGACCATGTGAGGAAATGAATTACTCGGTTCAGTTGAAGATGCACTTACCGGACTTGGGGCAGCTTCATGGTGGTGCTGAAACATGAGGAGGAAATCCAGTGTATTGGAGGAGGGGTCTGAACATATGAGAAATACCAGGCAGAAGATTTTGTGTGCTAACTTGTGTTTTTTAAATTTATATATCTACAGACAGGGATGATCGTTCTTTTGGCCGAGATAGAAATCGGGATTCTGACAAAACAGATACAGACTGGAGGGCGCGTCCTGCCACAGACAGCTTCGATGACTACCCACCTAGGAGAGGTGATGATAGCTTTGGAGACAGTAAGTTTATTTTTATCAAGTGAGTTTCTTCTGTGTTCTGGGGACTGTTTTGTAATAGGACAAGTGTATGAATGTAAATGATCACATTAGCGGAAAGGGAGGAGCAGTAGACACAGAAAAATTTTATAATATCCAAAAGAATTGATAGATACAGAAGAAGAATTTGATAAATTTAAATTAAAAAAAAAACTTGCTAGACAATAGATGGGAGATTTTTCTCTTTGGAGAAACAGTTGTTTAGGGGGCGCCTGGGTGGCTCAGTCAGTTAAGTGTCCAACTCCTGACTTCAGCTCAGGTCATGATCTCAGGGTCCTGAGATCGAGCCTTGTGTGGGCCCCTGGGCTGGACATGGAGTCTGCTTAAGATTCTCTCCCTTTGTACCCTACCCAAAATACTACTAAAATAATGTAAGAACAATTGTTTACAAAGAAACCCAACAGTCGTCTGCCTTTGGCTCAGAGCGTGATCCTGCTTCCCAGGATGGAGTCCCACATCAGGCTCCCTGCATGGGGCCTGCTTCTCCCTCTGCCTATGTCTGCCTCGCTCTCTCTTTCTATGAGTCTCTCATGAATAAATAAATAAATAAAAACTTAAAAAAAAAAAAAACAGATCTTCTAAAGTAAGGCACTAACGAAAGTTCAGCAAGATTGCTGGGTTAAAAACATTATACAAAAGTTAGTTGCATGACCAACAGTCAAACATGGAATTTTTTAAGGTATCTTTTAAAATAACTATATCCATTCTCTTCAAAAATAAGGGTCTACCATGTGCTAGATAGTGTTCTAAGCTCAGGATATAGTGGTGAACAAAACAGACAAAAATTCTATCCTCATTGGATGTTCTTTATACTAAGGAGAAAAAACAGTGCTCAAATAACTAATTTAGAGAAAAGAAAAGGGAAATTGAGAATGTTATGGGGTAAGAGTTGGAGTGAATCAACAACTTTCACATATACTGCTGAAGTACAACAGAAGATAAGCAAAACTTTTATGGGGAAAACTAGGCAACACTTTATTGAAATACTTGAAGAAAGAACTCTACTTCAGTAAAGAAACGATGAGATAGTGGTTTGTCCATATAACGTAACGTACAGATAATGATCCAGATAAAATTCAAAATCTAACATTGAGAGGGTAAGACAAAATTGTGTAAAAATTTGCAAAAACTATCATACAGTGTTAATACATAAGTTCCAAAAATGTATGCACGGTAACCTTCATGACCGTGAGTGAGAGTAGAAGGGAGCCCTTTAGCTATGTTTGTAATCCTAGTGAAAAAAAACTGAAGTAAACACGGCAAATTATTGGCATCTCCGGGCAGCCCTGGTGGCGCAGTGGTTTAGTGCCGCCTGCAGCCCAGAGTGTGATCCTGGAGACCCGAGATCAAGTCCCACATTGGGTTTCCTGCATGGAGCCTGCTTCTCCCTCTGCCTGGGTCTCTGCCTCTCTCTCTCTCTGGGTCTCTCATGAATAAATAAATAAAATCTTTAAAAAAAAAATTATTGGCATCTCCTAAACCTAAGTACAGTTACAGAAGTCTGGTGTAATTGCTTCTGTACTTTCCTGTTTGAGATAAGTAAAAAGAAGTAGGACAATCTCAGTTCATAAGGATTTTAATTCTGTGAGACATCTTGTGAGCTCTGTACCAAATAAAATTGAGGAAGCAATAAGAGAGAGAATTCACATTTTTGAATATAGAGTCCTCCCTAGCCTAATAAGATGTCTGGGAAGGAAGAAAGAATCAAGTTTATATCTGACTTTGATCAAGACTTTGTGACCAGGCAAAGCTTTGGGAAGAACTCCCGGAGGTATTTTACTTTAACATTTATGCAGGAGGTTGTTAATGGGAAGAAATGGCTCTTAAAAGAAAGAGCAGTCTAACCAAGGGTCTTGTTTTGAATCAAGAGACATGACTACTTTTTCACTTATGACCTTGAACTTAGAGCAAGCAGGGTGAATAATAAGAAAGGGAAGGTGGTGTAATTACCCAAAGCTCTCAAGTTTGTGAGACTAGTTGATGGCCCAGAAGTCAGCCCTTCCAAGACGGTGCAGACTCCTGTTCATGCATTGGGTCCATAAGAGACATGGCGGCAGGGGGTGGGTAGTTGTACTAAATGCTATTGTAAAATGTCGGCAAACACTTGTATGTTTCCTGGCCAACTGTTTTAGTGAGGGCAGATTATTATCATTGTAATTATCTAAGCAAAATTAAGTATACATAGAGTTCATTTGCCTCTCTAGAGATCAGATAAATATTCCAAAATAAACACAAGGTTGATTTTTTTTTCATGAATTCTGTTTTAGATTCTCTTCTGTGTATAATTGTTTTACCAACATTAGCATATCCTTTAACTTACAAATTTAAACTAGCAGGGAATGTAGACAAACTGATGTTTCCAAAATTCAAACATTGTCTTAAAAATAAACTCGTTGATTGATCTGCATGCATAAATTATTAAGTGCAAAAATGTTCTTAAGTTTGTTTTTGTATTAAAATTGAGGTTTTTCATATAAAAATGGGGATTCCCACCTTTTCCAGAAAATTGGAAAATCTGGCAGGCTAGCCAAAGCTAAGTAGCCCCTGTCTCCTTTTATAAATGCCTTACACCATGTAGTTTGCCCCTGAGCTCTCCAACATTCTTTTATACTAATTTCTGGCATTTTGGCACTTGTGATCCTGATATTTGTATTGTGTAAAATACAGTTCTCAAGTGTTGTGAACACATATACAGGAAATACATTTTTCATTCCATTTTTAACAGTTGCTTTGTATAGATGCCACTGATTTATTTAACCCATAGCTTGCGAACTCGATAGCCTTAATATTAAAAACAACATTGTAGGGGCACCTGGGTGGCTCAGTCAGTTAAGCATCTTGCCTTTGGTTCAGGTCATGATCTCAGGATCTTGGGGTTGAGTGCCTTGTCCTGCTCTCTGCTCCTCCCTCTCCCTGCCACTCGTGCTCTCTCTCTCTTTCTCTCTCCTCCCTCTCTCTCTTAAATAAATAAAATCTTTAAAAACATATAAAATAAACAGCATTGCAGTGAGCCTCCTTGTACATGTCTTTTTAATATGTCCAGTTATTTTCTCAGGATAAATTCCTAGAAATTGAATTGTTGGCCCACAGGGTACACATGATTTTAAAGCTCTTAGTGTATAGTTGTGAAGCAACTTTCAGAGTGGTTGTGCTGTTTTAGACTCCGCACCAGCAAAGGAATTGACTTATTCCCCTAAATTTTACCAACACTGAAAGTATTTTTTATTTTAAAATCTTTGCCATTTTGGTGGTGGGAGATGTCCTGTTAATTTTAGTTTCTGGGGCAGCCCAGGTACCTCGGCGGTTTAGTGCCACCTTCAGCCCAGGGTGTGATCCTGGAGACCCGGGATCGAGTCCCACGTCGGGCTTCCTGTATGGAGCCTGCTTCTCCCTCTGCCTGTGTCCCTCCCTTCCCCCCCCCCTCTGTCTCTCGTGAATAAAAAAATTAGTTTCTGTTCTTTAAGTAATAGCCAATTAATCCACTGTCCTATGTCATACATATTTTTCTCATTTTGTTGGTCTCTGATTTGGGTTTGTGTGTTTTTCAGTGCTAAACTTTGTTAAGTGGCCTTTGATTAGTTCTTTAGAACCAATAAAAAATAGAGATTCCAATTATATTTTTTTCTAGTGTATTTCAGTCTTTAATGCTCAAAATTCATTATGAGATAGAGATTTTTTTCTTTAACACTTAAATTATTAGCTTAGCAGTGTTTATTGAACCATCAGAGAAAAAAATTTTTTTTAATTTTTATTTATTTATGATAGTCACACAAAGAAAGAGAGAGAGGCAGAGACACAGGCAGAAGGAGAAGCAGGCTCCATGCACCGGGAGCCCGACGTGGGATTTGATCCCGGGTTTCCAGGATCGCGCCCTGGGCCAAAGGCAGGCGCTAAACCGCTGCGCCACCCAGGGATCCCCGGAGAAAATTTTTTAAATCAAATACCAAGAAAACGATTCAGTGCACATTTTCCCACTTTGAATTTAAAGGGGTTTATTTTTTTATAAAAACAACATAGTGACTGTCAAGTCATGAAAGCAAATTGACTTCATGGGCTATCGTGCTTCTTTCTGTTAATGTGTCAAGGGAAAAGGAATGACATTACCTTGTCTGTTTTCTCTCTAGAGTATCGAGACCGTTACGATTCAGACCGATACCGTGATGGATATCGGGATGGGTATCGTGATGGTCCACGCCGAGATATGGACCGATACGGAGGCCGGGATCGCTATGATGACCGAGGCAGCCGAGACTATGACAGAGGTCATTACAAAGCACAACTAAGTGAAATTGCTTTCTTTCAAGAACTGCTTTCTTGCTTTTTTTCCTCTGGTGTGATGATCATAATTGGGGATATATTTACAGGCTACGATTCCAGGATAGGCAGTGGCAGAAGAGCATTTGGTAGTGGGTACCGAAGGGATGACGACTACAGAGGAGGCGGGGACCGCTATGAAGACAGATACGACAGGCGAGACGATCGGTCCTGGAGCTCCAGAGATGATTACTCTCGGGATGACTATAGGCGTGATGATAGAGGTAATCATTTTCTTTTGCTTACTAACAGAGCAGACCACTGAAGAAGCTGATCGGAAAATTACCGGTTATGTCTCAAACCCCTTTAAGTGGGGTTTTTGGGAGGAGGGGGGTGTTTTTGAAGATTTTATTCATTTGACAGAGCACAGACAGGGGGAGCAGCAGAGGGAGAGGGAGAAGCAGGCTCTCCACCAAGCAAGGAGCCCGATATGGGGCTCAGTCCCGGGACCCTGAGATCACGACCCAAGCCAAAGGCAGACATGTAACCTGTTGAGCCACCCAGCGTCCCCTTAAGTGGGTTTTGAAACAGGATGAATTTATACATTGTAAAAGGTGTGGCACAGAGTAAAGCCGGAGGAGCACTGAGGAAATAGAGCAAAGTCTGTTTTGTTTTGTTTTAAGATTTTATTTATTCATGGCAGACACAGAGAGGGAGAGGCAGAGACACAGGCAGAGGGAGAAGCAGGCTCCACGCAGGGAGCCCGATGCAGGACTCGATCCTGGGTCTCTAGGATCATACCCTGGGCTGAAGGTGGTGCCAAACCACTGAGCCATCGGGGCTGCCCAAGTCTGGTTTGTCTAAGTTGCTTTAGCATAGAGATTTTTCACTTAAAATTTATTGAATATACAAATGGGCCAAAGGAAAACATTTGCCACAGTCTCCTAGCCAGTGATTGGCACAGCAGAGTTAAAAACCAAGCGATGATGATTTCAGTACTTTGGCACCACAAGTAATTTATACTCATTAACTAATGGTGAGATGTCAGGCCCCTAAAATGATCTCTCAAAAAGTATCAGTAAATGGCCAAGATTCATGTTCTGACTTCATTAATGTCATCAAAAAAGTAAGATGTCTGGCCCAGAGTCTTTCTCTTCAATTATCTTTAGACAGCTTGCCTGGCCTTTTAACATCCTCCCATGTTAGTGCTGACTGTGTGCCGAGTGCTTTTTTTTTTTTTTTTTTAAACAAAACTTTCAGTTCATTGTTAAAAGCATTGCTGTTAACTATTTCCTCTATTTCAATGTGTGCAACTTAGAAATACTAACACTGAGCATTTACTCTGCACCATAAGTGAACTGAGTGTTCTCACAGGTATTATACAGTCTTAAGAATTCTATCTGGTATAGATAAGATTCTCATTTCCAATTTACTAGAGAGAAAAGTGGAGGCTTGGGTGTGGGTTTTGAGTCTCCTTGACTTATGACCTTTTCCTCTCTCAAACCATTCTTGCCTCCCTTGGTAACTGCATCCCTCATCTTTTTTTTTTCCAGTGATCTTGCCCCGGGTTCCCTCTTAAGATCTGCCCTTGTTTCCAGAGTCACTGCCATTGTTTATTTTTCATTGCTATATCCACATTACTAACAAATTTCCCTTCCTCCTTCCATCTTCACACTGGCCCAAACTGTCTTTTTGGAACAATGGCTAATTAGATTATTCTGTTCCTAGTCTCTCCGTGGCCTGAAAGGTAGCCTTTTGGGGTTTTGTTTTGTTTTAAGATTTTATTTATTCATGAGAGATACAGAGAAAGAGAGAGGCAGAGACACAGGCAGAGGGAGAAGCAGGCTCTCTGTGGGGATCCTGACACAGGACTGGATCCCAGGTCTCCAGGGTCACACCCTGGGCTGAAGGTGGCGCTAAACTGCTGAGCCACCCAGGCTGCCCAAAGACAGCCTTTTGTCTGTACCCCTGACATATGTGAGCCCTCACTATTCAACCTACAGTTTATCTCTTTAGTGCTGTCTGGCATTAGGTGCTTGCTCAGTTTTCTAGACTTTCAGGAGTTACCACTTTGAAACCTTCACAGGCTTCCCCAGACACAGTCACAGTCTAAGAACTTCTTTGTGGTTAAATCTGTTTTGTAGAGCTTAGCATCATGTATTCTTTTTTTATCCTGATCCTGCCACTAAATTGGGCTCCTTTCAGCAGAAACTAAAAACTATCCAACTGTCATATTCCTGGCCTTAGCCCAGTATCTGAAATATAGGAGCTCATTGAGTAGGTAAAAGAAATGGAAATTATTAGAGGAGAAAGAAAAGAATGTTACTATAGTGGGAGGAATGTAGAGTTCTTTTGATAATAGCAGATTTCATCCTTTGGTCCTCCAGGTGTTAGGTGTATGGCTTAAATAGCTACTCTTTCTGATCCCCAGTTTTACCCTTTAAAAGGGCTAATGGGCCCTTCGCAAAGTTACACATAATAAAACTGGATCTGGCATAAGTTCCTGGCTGGCTCAGTTGGTGGAGCGTGCACCTCTTGATCTCAGGGTCTTGGGTTTGAGCTCCTCGTTGGATATAGAGATTACTTAAAAAACAAAATGGTTTTTGTTTTGTTTTTTGTTTTTTTTTAAGTATCTCAGAAGTTTATATAAATTGCCAGCTTTTTTTTTTTTTTTTAAGATTTTATTTATTTATTCATGAGAGAGGCAGAAACACAGGCAGAGGGAGAAGCAGGATCCTCACAGGGAGCTCAATATGGGACTCAATCCCGGACACTGGGGTCATGCCCTGAGCCAAAGGCAGACACTCAGTCACTGGGCATCTGCCTTCAGCCCAGGGTGTGATCCTGGTCCCAGGATTGAGTTGCACATCACATTCCCTCCATGGAGCCTGCTTTTCTCTCTGCCTGTGTCTCTGCATCTCTCTCTCTCTCTCTCTCTCTCTCTCTCTCTCTCTCTCTCTCTCTCTTTCATGAATGAATAAATCTTTTTATTTAAAAAAAAAAACCCTTATAGAAAATTTAAATTTCGGTAAACCATCCCCTCTTTGCAGATACATTCGTATGTCCTTTAGTAAAAGTTTGCATGGGAATGATAAGCCCTGAATTTGAGCATAGAGGTTATAAGAGCACAGCTAGGTGTGTCATCAGGGGAAAGATAATCAGGAGCCTTCAGTGGACTTTTCGAGTGTTTTATTACTTAAGCCAGTGGTTGGTATACATAAGCTTTATCTTGTTTATCTTTTGTATGTTTGAAATTATTTAGGATAAACACTAATTTTGAGAAATACAATTCCCTTGAAACACTAAGGTTTGTCTTAAAATATTCTGACAGTTTGGATCCAAGGAGAAATCAGATTCCTTTAGAGTTTTATAGTTAGCCGTTTGGTACTGTATGCTTTGCTCCATGAATCATTATGAGATTTAGATTCCACACAGAGCCGAGAGTATAGGAACTAGAGTCTTTCCCATTGTATTGTCACAAGCTTTTCTCAGCCTCCTGAAGTAGTTCATCTTCCAGACCACATTTTTGACCAAGATACTTGCATCCAGTAGTTTATTATACTTGACCATTTCTTCCTAGTAATAGTAGCTGTGATGACTCCTCATGTAAGTCCTCAGTGTGCCCTTCAATGTAGCACTGCCTCATGGGTGGCGTAGTGGGAAGATTGATTGTCCTTGGTTGTTTAAGCCACCCATTTATTTTCTAATGCTCTCCCTTCTCTACTGGATTGGCTAGGCTGCTACTCTCCCGTGTGGCATTTTCTTTTAAGATTTCTATTTACTTGCTTATTTGTGAGAGACACAGAGAGAGGCGGAGAGACATAGGTAGGGAGAAGCAGACTCCTCGCGGGCATCCTGATGTAGGACTTGACCCCAGGACCATGGGATCACAACCTGTGCCAAAGATAGACGTTCAACCACATGTCCCCCATGTGGCATTTTTTAAGAGCTGTGTCTGGGCATCTGACTTTTGGCCATCAGCTTCTGAGGATTTTGAAAAACTGTTACTTAGAGTTTTATCTAACTTAGGTCCCCCCCAAAGACCCAAACTGAATCTAAAGCCTCGGAGTACTCCTAAGGAAGATGATTCCTCCGCTAGCACCTCCCAGTCCAGTCGAGCGGCCTCTATCTTTGGAGGGGCAAAGCCTGTTGACACAGCTGCTAGAGAGCGAGAAGTAGAAGAGCGGCTGCAGAAGGAGCAGGAGAAGCTGCAGCGCCAGCTGGATGAGCCAAAACTGGAGCGACGGCCTCGAGAGAGGTGAGGCTCTCTTCAGTTATGGATCTCTGATCTGGGAACGAATTGCTTCCTGAAGGACGGGTGTGGTATACATCCCAGGGCACATCTGGGAAATTCATGTAGACGTTATTAGTTGTCACTTAATAGCATCTAGTGTACGCAGGCTGGAGCCAAGTAGGTGCGCTGCAGTATATGGGACAGTTGAACCCTATGAAGAGTTAGTTGCCTGGCCCTCGTGGCTTTTAAAGGGGCTTAACTGGGCTTAACTTCTGACAAATATAAATTGATGATGAATTTAATAGAGGAGTAGGCAAATTACGGCCTATTCCTCCCCCCGCCCCAAATCCATTTATTTGAGAAAGAGCACAGAGAGAAGTGGACTGCTGAGCAGGGAGCCCGACGCGGGGCTCCATCCCAGGACCCTGGGATCACGACCTGAGCCGAAGACAGACGACATTTAACCAACTGAGCCACCCAGGTGCCCCAGTCCTGTTCCATATTTTGTAAATAAAATTTATCTGACCCAATAAAAAACTGACCAAATCTTGCTTTAGTATATGGGGTAAAGCCACCATTATGAGATGAGTGGAAGTGCCTCTATTCGAGTTGCTGGAATAAAGAGAAAATGTTTTTACTTCTATAAAACATAAACTATAAATTATTTTACATTTATTTTTACTCGTGTGTATGTCAGGTATATTATTTAAGGATATTTCAGGATGGTAAAGGAGTCGGTAGTTAAGTGTTTATTATTAAAAAGTGGCATTAGATCTAATGGGGTAAAACCTGTAAAATGGCCTAGTTTTAAGTGGCTTTTAGAGTTGTGTTACCAGTAAAGGAGGGCTGTAGGTTAGGTAGGAGAATATTCTTCGTTCTAGTTGAAGCTTCAAGTGTTTAGAGCCAAAGTGTATTTATGCTTGTAGCTTTCAAATGGTTTGCGAGAAACAAGATGTGCACACCCACCCACAAATACAGCAAGCCTGATAAGTATGAAGTGATGGTTCTTGAGGGGTCAGCATGGGTCCAAAGTGGCCTTCAGTGAGCTGGACATAAGTTGTTTTCTTTTTTTTAATCTCTTTGTACAGACACCCAAGCTGGCGAAGTGAAGAGACTCAGGAACGGGAACGGTCCAGGACAGGAAGTGAGTCATCACAGACTGGGACCTCGGCCACAACTGGCAGAAGTAAGTCAGACCAGGGTGGGTATCACGTGTTATTGCTTCTTTCCATAAATGAGCCATAACCAAATTATGCAGTCACTGTGGGGTATTAAACTCAGTCATGGGGGCTTTACTTCGGTTAGCATAGGTTGAGCAGAATATTACATCTCCTGGTCTGAAAAATCTAAGAAAATGGCATCAGAAGAGACTTGGGCGACCTGTTTAATGATCTTCTACTAAAGAGTATACTTGACTGTTAAGATTTGTCCCTTCTTTTTGTTTCGACATTCCAGAATTTTCCTTTATTTAGAGCAGCACAGTCCTACAGCTCTCTTGCCAGCCTTTTTGGATGTCCTGTATGACCAGAGCAATGTCTGGAGCGATGATCTTCTACTCTTGATCTTTCTTTCCTTCCTTCCTTCCTTGAATTTATCGATTGGTCACAAACATCTTTAGTGTTTTGGAAACTGAACTATTAAATCATAACACCTCCCTTCCCTTATTGCGAACCAGTGTTTTGTTTTTTAAGTTTCTTCTTCCCACCTCTAAGTTGATTTGTACTTGAGCATTTCAAAGTGTGGCTCCAGACTGAGATGATTTGGAAGTTCATCCAAGTGTTGTAGAAGTTTTCTGGAAATTATTCATACTGGAGTAGCCACCCTTTTAGTAACAGGAAGGTAATGTCTGTTTGTGACTAGGTGGAAGTGTGATGGTTGGATTGATTATATACCTCCTGAGGAGGCTGCACTTAAAACATAGAAAGAATCTGACAAAATAAACATTTAGTTGGTTTTCGGTTTTGCTTTGTTTTGTTTTGTTTTTTTAAGATTTTATTTATTCATGAGACAGAGAGAAAGGCAGAGACAAGCAGAGGGAGAAGCAGGCTCCATGCAGGGAGCCCGATGTGGGACTCGATCCCGGGACTCCAGGATCACACCCTGAGCCAGAGGCAAACGCTCAACCACTGAGCCACCCAGGCATCCCAAAACTTCTAGTTTTGAGAAGACATTTACTGCCCTTTAGAAAAAAAAAAAAAGATGGCCTATTTTTCCTATATATCACATTGTATGTGTGTGTGTGTTGAGCCTCCAACTTGGAGTTAACTCAGTGGACCCTGGGGTTTGAGATTTATCAGAGGTCCTCTTCACACACATATACACATTCTGGTGTAGACATTTTAACACTGAAAACGTAGCAAGGAGATCCCTGGGTGGCGCAGCGGTTTAGCGCCTGCCTTTGGCCCAGGGCGCGATCCTGGAGACCCGGGATCGAATCCCACGTCGGGCTCCCGGTGCATGGAGCCTGCTTCTCCCTCTGCCTGTGTCTCTGCCTCTCTCTCTCTCTCTCTCTCTCTCTCTCTGTGACTATCATAAATAAAATTAAAAAAAATTGAAAACTTAGCAAGGCTATAATCCTAAAAGAGTACTCATTTCTAGGAACAGTCAGGTGGCTTTTCTTGGAGAGCCATTGAATCATTAAAACATTTCCTCAAAGTGATAATTAATAACCACTAATTTAGGGATAATTTCATCTATTGGGAGCCATATCCAGGTCTTAAAGAGTAATGAAAAGAGGTCAATTTGGGTGGGGACCATTTTCCATTCTGTTGAGATCCTAATAGATCGTTGCTTTTCCTGATAAGGTAACCTTCCCACTCTGATTTCACAGATGCACGAAGGAGAGAGAGTGAGAAGTCTCTAGAAAATGAAACACCGAATAAGGAGGAAGACTGTCACTCTCCAACTTCTAAGCCACCCAAATCTGAACAGCCTCTGAAGGTAATGCCAGCCCCTCCACCAAAGGAGAATGCTTGGGTGAAGCGAAGTTCTAACCCTCCTGCCCGATCTCAGAGCTCGGACACAGAGCAACAGTCCCCCACGAGGTGAGTCAGCGTAACGGTTGCTTAGCTGTAGAATCTCAAACCTTGTGATGTCATGCTGGAAAGTCCCCTGACTGTTGGTCTTACGTAGCGTCTTTTAAGTTCTGCTGTCTTGGCTCTCAGCTCCCATTCAGCGCGTGCTGCCGCGGGCTCATTTAAGCCATTGTTCAATTCTCTAGAGTTTTGATAACTGGTTGGCATCATTTTGGCTACTCAAAATCTGCAGATTGGTATTCAAGACCTGCCACTGCCACCTTCGGCAGCATGGCTTTAGGGGTCAGATTACTCCCTTAGGTCTTAGGATTCTCATTTGTAAAAAAGAGAGTCCTACTCCCCCTGCAAGATCAGGATGATTCTGCAGGACAGGGTACTTCTACTTAGTGAGTGATCATCAAGTAGTCGCTTTCATTGTTGACTTTCCTATATTTCAGTGTCCTACAACGTTAAGTATATATTTTGGTTCTCTGTAAAGTTTACTGTTTGGTGAACGATTGGAAGTTCATCTGTTCTTCCCGAAGACTAGTGAATGTAATTACATGCTTTTCTTCTAGTGGTGGAGGGAAAGCAGTCCCGGCTCAGCCCCCGGAGGAAGGACCAGCAAGGAGAGGTAAGACCAACAGGAAATCCGTGTTTCATGTAGCCGGAGTCCTCAGTGAAAAGCCTGTAGAGGACTCCAGAAACAACCCCAGTGTCCTCCTGCACCTGTTTTGTGCTCAAGGTTCTTAAGTTACCTACCCTTTTTTTGCCAGTAGAGGGCAGGAGTGGTCTCTTTGGAGAAAGCACAGCCCTGCCCTTTCCTGGTAGAACATTTCTTTGAAAGGGAAAAAAAAGAATCGGAAGGAAATTCGCATGCTCCAAGTCCAGATTAGATATGTCACCATCTGTAAGGCCAAGGTCACTACTGAGCGTCACAGTCCTTCATTTCCAGTTTGCTCTTCATGATGGCATCACCCTACCGTGGAACTTTTTAGTGGGTCTTAACTTGGGGTGAGGGGAACGTGGGAAGAAGGGCTTGGGAGGGAAGTCTGGGTTGGGGTGAGGCTGAGTTTCCCTCGATGCACAGGGGCACGCTTTTCTGCAGCTCAAGGGAAACTAGGGAGGAGACTGGTTCTTTTACCTGCTTTTCATTTGTTCTTGGTTCTTGGCATCTCCACTCACGCAGATGAAAACAAAGTAGATGGGGTGAGTGTCCCAAAAGGCCACAGTGGGAACTCCAGCCGTGGTCCAGGAGACGGAGGGAACAAAGACCACTGGAAGGAGCCGGATAGGTACGCATGTTCTCTCATCACTCACACTCTCACCTGGTGCTACATGCGTGTCTTGTAGTTAAGCCGCCCTTGGTCCTCCGAGCACTGCCAGGTCTCCTACTGTAAACAAAGGAAGGTCAACCAGACAGTTAGCGTCCCTCTAAGAATCTAGAAACACAAGTCCACGCAGATAGCAAGGACTGCTGCCTGGAGGTACCTGCGCAGTGCCCTCCCAGTGGCTCGTGGGTGTTGGGACAGTCCCCTCCTAAAGATGTGGTTTTACACTCACACCTCTGTAGGAAAGACGGCAAAAAGGATCAAGACTCCCGATCTGCACCTGAGCCAAAGAAACCTGAAGAAAATCCAGCTTCCGTAAGTGTGGGGTGCTTGCTCGTTTTTTGCCCTTGATCCCCTTTACGTTTGGGGCTACGAGCAGAGTGGCGGGAAGTCAGGTACTGCTGCTTGTTGGGAGAGCACACAGGGCCTAGTGTTCCCCGCACCTCTCCTCCCTTCCCCTCTCCTCCCCTCTCTGGGGTGAAAGGTGGTGTAAGGGCCTGTGGGCCTCTGACCTGCTCTCCCAGGGGAAATGCTAAGAAAGCCGGCGGGTGTGGCCTGGGCTGGCCCCTCCTCTTTGCCCAAGTAGCAGTATCCTGTTCCTTGGTTTGGGATGTGAGAATTCAAGGCCTTAGAGATTTTCTCACTCTTGTCCCTTCCAGAAGTTCAGTTCTGCCAGCAAGTATGCTGCTCTCTCCATTGATGGTGAAGATGAGAACGAGGGAGAAGATTACACCGAATAGACCTCTGCATCCTGTGCTTTCTCCTAGTCTCTCCACCCTGGAACATTCGAGAGCAAATCAAACCTCTATCCAGACAAGACAATAAAACTCACCATCTCCTGGAGACCTTTCTTAACTTTTTTTTTTAAAAAAACAAAAAACAAAAAACAGTGAAACGAAATTCTTTTGCATGCTGCTGCAGCCTTTAAAGTATTGAACTAACTGGAGAATCGCCAATGTAGCCAGAGAGAAAGAGACGTACAGCTTTTAACAGAAAAGTTGTGCATTTTTCCGACACATGCAGTTGCTGTGTGATTAGTGCCTGGGGGCCTCCATTTAGCAAAAGGGCAGCGGCAGCGGCGGTGGTGCCCAGTCTGGAATGTGGGCAGCGGGGCGGGCTTGAGGAGGAGGGAGGGGCTACCTCCCGATTCTCACTGGTTCTCACTATCCTAGTGCGGCGTGCGGGAGGGAGTGCTCAGGCGTCCCCTCAATACATTTTCCATCCTTGGAAAGGTAGGTTTAGTCTCTGAAGTGGTTGTAGTCTCCAGGAGGCTGCCTGCCCCCCTGATTTAACTCTGAGTTACTGGGGGAAGTTCTTCACTTTTACCCCCGGGGGTGGTTGAGAGTCTGTAGGCCGCTGAAGAGCAGGGCTGCTTGGTGACCAAAATGAGCGGGAAATCGTGGTTTAAAAAGAGGCGCTGGGGAAGTGAGAAGTATCTTGCACCAGTGATGGGGGGAATGCCGTGACCTCCAGTGACCCCTGGGCAGGAAGCGCTTCGGGGTCTGGGAGGCCCCAAGTCTTCTGTACATCCCGGTTTTGCCGTGTCTCAGACACTGTCCTCCTGAAAGTTCACACATACCCGTGTTCTGTTGAAATCTTGAAGCTTTAAAAAACGTAGACCCCCGTCCCGGGCTTCGGTCCCGGGCTTCGATCCTCGTGCTCTTTGCCGTCACCCCCCAGAAGCAGCTTCTGTTGAGATCCCCCGATGCAGGTCGGGGCTCCTCCGCGTCTCGCGCCTTCCCTCCTCTCACACCGCGGAACTCCAGGATTGATGGTCTTGGGTGGCGACCGAGGGCAGGTTGTGCGCCGTCCGACCACCTCACCTCGATGGGGCTTTTTGGTTTTGTTCTGACGAGGTTTCTCCACTCAAGTCCCACACAGTGTGCGGCTGGGGGGGCTGGGGGGGTTTAAGCTTCCCTTGAGAGTACGAATGATAATGGGGAGAAGCTAACCAGGGCCTGGTTTCTGCTGCAACACAGTAGCTTCACTTGCCTGCTTTGATGTGCACCTTTGTACTGTCCGCCCAGGAGCCCGCGTCCTGAGGGGTGACCCCCCCCCCCCCGCCATCGGTCTGCTCGGCCCCTGGTCAGCCCCTGCCCGGCCGTGCGGCGAGCGGGGTGGGAGTCTGCAGCGGAGCTAAGGAATCCTTTACCCCGTGGACAGAAAGGACTTCCCAAGTGGAGGGACTTTAAATAATTGGCTTCGATGGGCCGGTAGCCAGGAAGTGGCTTTTAGAGAGATACCCAAGGCTGAAAGGGTTTGGTTGGTTGGGGGTTTTTTGGGTTTTTTGAACCATTGAAAAGGTAGGTTTTGCCCTCTTCAGGTCTATTTCCAAATGGTTGTATCCAAAAAAAAACTGGTTTTTTTTCCCACTCCCCACCTGTCCCCCTGTTGCCACAGAAGCAGGGGCCCTGTCCCGCTCCCTAATACGTGTAAAATTTGTACAAAATATCTTCTATGAAAATGATTTGTAATCTGTAGACTTAATTCCTGGGAGATGTCTTGAGATGTAAAATCCCATCCTTTGGGTTGTGGGGTTTTTTGTTTTCTCCAAATAAATCTGATCTTTAAAGTTCACCTCAATGCTGAAATTCTTTTGACCATACACCTGTGCCTTCCTGTGGCTCCCGCTCACTCCGTCCCCCAATCAGCTCTGCAGCTGCGGGGGTGGGTTCCGGGGGCCGTGTTTGGGGCTCTGAGAAGGCGAATTTGCATCCGCTCCCGCCAGCGTCTCTGCCCGGTGCTAACTTTCACCGTGACCTTCCCGGAGTCCGCTTCCTGCTCCGTGGCCGGGAGGCCGGGCCGCGACCTGTGGGCGACCTGTGGCCCGCGGGGCTCCTCGGCCGGTTGGCGCCGAGGCCCTTTCCCCTTCGTTATTTTTTTAATCTGAGGCTAATTACCGCCCGCAGGAAGTTGGCCTGTGGTGGTTTTTTGAGAGAAAGGGGGAGGGGAGAACCTCAAGCAGGCTCCGCACCCAGCGCAGAGCCCACAGGGGACCCCGCGACCTGGGCCAGCCGGGCGCCCCCTTCCCCTCTTCTGCCGTAGCTCAGGCGGGATCTTCCCAGGGGCAGGAAGGCGGACGCCCGGAAGGAACCTGGGGGGGCACGGAGCCCAGGAACCTCCGTCCAGGACTGGGAGGAAGATGGGGGGCCGTGCAGACACCTGGGAGCCCAGCCGCCAAGGGCTCCCCCCGGCCCTCACGCGGGCCCCACGCAGGCCTTTGGACCCACGGCTGCGCCGAGTGGCCGAGGCGGGCCAGCTGCGGGGCTCCGCGGCGGGCGGGGGCAGGGGGTACGGGGGGGGGGGGCAGGGGGGGAGGGCGCTGGAGCGCAGGTGCCGTGGCGGCCCGGCCTCGCGTGCCGCCCCCCGAGCCGCCCTGCAGCAGGAGCCCGGGATCGGGGCGCCCGAGCAGCGCCCGGGAGGGGACGGCAGGGCACCCGAGGAGGGTCGCTTCTGGGGTGCCTGGGCCCCGCAGGCCTGGACCCGGGGGGGCGGGGAGGCCCGGGGGGCGGCGGCTCCCAGCACCCAGGCCCCAGGAGGGGGTGAGCTCCACGGCTGCCCCCCGCCTCGACTCCCCTCACCCAGCAGGAGCCCGAGGAGGCGACCCCCCAGCACCCGAGCCCCACCCGGTGCTCCCCGCAGCGCCAGCCCGGCCCGACCACAGGCCGCTTGGGCTCCCCCAGGCCTCCCACACGGCGCCTTCACCCTCACCTTCCTCACAGCTGCCCTCAGTCTGAGCTGACACCCGGCCACCATCTGGGGAGCCCCCAGTTCCTGGGAACCTCACGAGTCCCCCTGAGGGGCAACAGCGGCGGCCTGAGTGGGAGGCTCTAGCCCTGCCCACGGCCCGGGCCCAGCCTGGCCCCTGCTCCCTTTAAGGATGAAGACCTGGGGCGCCGCCTGGCTCAGAAGAGCCTGGGACGCTTGATCTAAGGGTCGTGAGTTCAAGACCCACGCTGGGTGTAGCGATTGCTCAAATAAATAACAACCTTATTTAAAAAAGAAAGAAAGCAAGAAAGCTTAGAACTGACCTACCCCCTTCGGCAGGCCTCCCCGGCTCCTGGTCAAAGACCCTAATGGCATCTGGGAAGGACGAGGTTCTAGAAGAGCAAGCTACACAGGGGCGCCGGGCTGGCTCAGTCGGTGAAGCGTCCGACTCTTGATCTCAGAGGCAAGTCCAGGCCCCAGACTGGACTCCACATTGGGCCTGGAGTCTACTTAGGAAGAATTTTTTTTTTTGTTAATTCAAAAACAAAAGAACTAACTATAGACTCCAAAAAAGCAAATTTTCACATCCTGTGTATCTGGATTACATAACCAAATCTTCTCCCAAATACCCAGAATGACCCTCAGCCCTGCCCCCTGGCCACTAGCCTCTCATCCCCGTGGCCTTCCTTGGGGCTTCCCCAAACTCCTGCCTGTCCCCTCCTCCCAGTGCCTCCCCACCTGTGTCCTCCCCCGCCCCTGCCCCCGCCCTCCCTCCGGTGGTTCCCGCAGCTCCGACCCCGCTCTGACCCCGAGACCCAGGCCCTCTAGACCTACTGGACACCAACCCAGCCAGGAGCAGTAAGATCTAGGCTCCCCAGTCCCACCCACAACCCCCCCCACGCCGGTTCCAAATGCCAGTCTCTGAGGGACCCACGCTGTCACCATGCCTCTCCCCAGCCGCCAGACTGGAATCAGAACCAGGTTGAAATCGGAACCTTTGCCAAAGGCCAGGGGAGCACAGAGGCGACCCAGTTGAGAGCTGAGACAGGGAGGGACGATGGCCTTGGAGCTGGTGGCACTGGCTGCCTTGGCAGGCCCTGGACATTGAGCCCTGGGCACTGGCTTCTCAGAACCTACACCCCCCACATGTCAGTTTCCAGCACAGGAGATCCAGTGGGGAGGGGGAGGGGGTAGGGTCGGGACGTGCCCAACACTAGAGACCCATGTGGAATCTGAGAGTGGAGAAGATGCAGAGTTTCTAGAAGGACCTCCGTCCCTTCCTTCCAGCTTCCCCTCCAGGGAGACCCAAATCACGCCAGGGCCCATGGGATGCTCCCCGGCACCGGGTCCCCACGCTGCACAGGAACAGGGGTCAGTGCCAAGGGGACGCGTCCCTGAGCCGGTCCCTGAGCCCTGAGGATGGCTTTCTCTGCGCTCAGGGGGGAGGGAGGGAGGGAGGACCAGCGCCAGCTCCGCTCCAGCTCCGGCTCCAGCTCTGGCTCCACCTCCAGTTGCTCCAGCTCCAGCTCTAGCGCCGGCTCTGGCTCCAGCTCCTGGAGCCTCTGGCTCCAGCTCCAGCTCCAGGTTTAGTTCCAGCTCCAGCTCCAGCTCCAGCTCCAGCTCCAGCCCCGGCTCCAGCTCCAGCTCTAGCTCCAGCTCCAAGCGCCAGCTCCAGCTCCAGCTCTAGCTCCAGCTCCAGCTCCAAGCGCCAGCTCCAGCTGCAGCTCCAGATTTAGCTCCAGCTCCAAGCGTGCAGGCTCCGGCTCCAGCTCCAGCAGCTCCAACTCCAGCCCCGGCTCCAGCTCCAGCTCCAGCAGCTCCAGCTCCCGCAGCTCCAGCTCCAGCCCTGGCTCCAGCTCCAGCAGCTCCAGCTCCAGCCCTGGCTCCAGCTCCAGCAGCTCCAGCTCCAGCAGCTCCATCTCCAGCCTGGCTCCAGCTCCAGCCCTGGCTCCAGCTCCTGAGCCTCTGGCTCCAGCTCCAGCTCCAGATTTAGCTCCAGCTCCAGCCCCTGCTCCAGCCCCGGCTCCGGCGCCCCCTCCAAGCGCCGAGGGCTGCTGGGCCGCCGGGGGTCCGGGGGTCCCAGGGGTCCCGGGGTCCCGGGTCGCGGCCTGGGCCCCGGGCCGGCGGGGCGTCCT